TAGCAGTCAAATCTTTCACTGGCTGCCTTCTTTCTTGCATGAATTTTTTTTCTTCGAAATTGTAAAGTTTATTTTGATGATCTTTGTTTCTCATATGCTTAATAGTGGTGTTGCATGTCTAGTTCCTCACCAGACCTTAAGCCAGTACGTAACACCTGTTTGCTGTGTTTTGTGGGCATTGTCTTCCTTTCTAAGGATCTCTATCAAGAAACCTCTTAAAATGACTAATCTGCTATGGGGAAAAAGATGGATAATACTAAAAATACCTTGTTGCATCTCCTTTAATATTAAACATTTTTCTTTTTGCACCAGATCTTCCTTCCCCATCAGCTGCTGTCTTGTATTGTTCTCTGCATCTATTTTGACTAAATCGAGTTCTTCATTACCATTAAAAAAAAATGTAATGTACCATTTTATAGTTTTGTGACCACACAGACCATTACTCAAGCTGTGATGACAGGCATAAAGAAGGGTCTCATAAACGTAAACGATGTTAAATGATAGTCATTTTGTATTCCCATGCTACCGCAGTGTTAAGCCAAAAATAGGAAGAAAGCAGACAACATTCAAATTTAAGGCCTGCTGAACTTGATAGAGGTGAAGAAATCAAGGCTATTGTTTAGGTTCTTGGTTTTACAAGCATCATCTGTGCTGGACTTGCTGATTTGTGGATATGGACTTGTAATTTGTGACAGGACATCTGACCATGTGTTTGCTGTCAGCCAGACACCCAGGCAGACAAACAGGCTGTAAATCGCACAAAAAAACATCAAAGTGCTCCACATTTCCCCAGGACTCTACAGGCTGTATTTTGCCTGTTTACCACCCTAGTTGCAGTGCTCTTTTGAGCTTTTGGTGTTGTCTTCTCTAGCCTAGAGAGGAACACATTCCCAGAGAAAACCACACAACAAACCATGTGTGGGCTTCAGTAGACTAAAGGGGGATTTTTTGAATTGCCCCAATTCCCAATTAAAATCAGAAATTAGGCAATCTTTTAAGAAGTTGAAGCAGTCTATGATCATTGTGATTGTGAAGTTGGGTAGTTCTGTAGAAAACTTTGCTGATACTTTATTTATCTATTGTAAAGCCAGGAGAACTTATAGATATCAGGCTTGTATTAAACCTTTTGAAATCTTAAGAAGGTATTTTGTTTTTGCAATAAAAACAAAAGACTGAATTGTTTATTGCACAATTCCATTTGTGCTCCCTGTACTTTTTGTTTGCTTTTGAAATATATTTTAATCCTCAGTATTCAGATCTTTTTAACATGTATTTTACTTGGATTTTGCAAGGTTCTGCTTATCAGCTGATTTTTTTTTCCTGTCCAATTATAATTCTCCAGTAGCGTAATTCATTTAGTTTACATTACAAATTCTTAGGGGAACTATAAATTTTTAGTATTGCTGCCCTGTTAAACAAAGAAGGTCATCTGAGAAGAATGTAAACAAATTAATTCAGATTAACTTTAATAGTTTCTAAAAGTTTCTCTCTGGGATGTTATCCAAAAAGGATTAACTTAATAGTAGTTCTTACATTGTGGGAATCATTTGGAATTTAACCATAGCTTCAAATTGAAATCTGAAGAAAACTGCAAGAAACCAATGGAAATAAATGTGGTATCAAGAAACACAAGAAAGCAACAAACCTCAGAAATCATTAGGTAGGCCTACTGTAGCTTCATTTGTCCTATGGTATTCATATTTAAATTGATCAGTCTTACAGGACAATCTGAAGGCAACATTTCCTCCTGTTTTTCAACTGTAAATAAAACTATTTTCTATTTGTTATTTAATTTTCTATTTAAGAACAGAAAATGGGTAGTCTGCAGAAATTTCCTTGTAGTTGCTTTTATCTGAAATTTGGATTTAATTTAATTTAATCTACAAGACATATATTTACTATAACATTTACACTATAACATTGTCATACTGGAATTGAGTCACACAAAGAAAACCCATCAGCATGTAATTCTGGCATTTTATTTTACAATGGATTTAATATTTGTGTTGGACAGCGTTTTCAGAAATGATTTTGCCACAGGTAGGGGTGAGCAGATGAAATTGAAGCTGTTTAAAACTGTATGCACCCCAAACATTTTGGGCTAAAATATGAATGCATCAAACACAAAGTTTGACTATGTATGAAGGAAAACTTACTCTTTAATATGATATCGATATAGTTTAACATGGAAGATTCCAGAGGTAGTCACTGTGATTCTGACCTTTGACATAATGTGATAATTTAGGAAGTACGCATGCAACCACAGTGTTTACTGTGTTGTCCGGCTATTGCTGAAGGGAACAGACCTTCCAATGAAGTTACAATGGGCAGCCTGGAGAGATAGACCCTTCTAGTCATAAATCCCCAGACCCGGTTGTCTTCTTAGAGCAATGGATGGTTTGCAGGCATAGTAACTTGCAAGGTCAGAAAATGAGTCAAACAGGATGGAAGTGTACAGGTTTCTCAGTGATAATTTTGGTGTGGCTTTGGGGGGGGAGGGGGTCTCATTACACAAAGTCCTTCGAATTTCAGGGCCATGAAATCTCTGTGTATAACCAGAGGATAAGAGAAGAAAAGTCTGAATGAAAAGGCTGTAAATACCAGAGCCCCAGGGATAGCAGCCTGTAAAACTGTCAGGAATTGCTCTTTAGTGCCAGCAACTGCCTTTAATCTCCTGACTGTAGTATGCCTTAATTCAGAAAACCCTTTAAAATGCTTCACTTCTAACTGAAACTAATTTAAAATAGAAATGAATCTGCTTTATTATTGAAACACTAGGCTGTGACATAGTCCAGGTGTCTACTATGAATTATGGTGTTTTATACTGCTCATTTCTAATCTTCGTAAGGGATAAAGTGCATTTGAAAGTCCACTGATAATTTTCTCTGATTTTATCATTTTTGTTTCAACGTCATTTTAATATTTTTTCTACATCCATGACGTTCTTAAACATTTTAACTGAATTGATTTATGGATCCTTCCAGCAAACTACAGGAAACTTGAACGCTCATGCTCTGTAACATGAAGTTAAGCTTCAGTAAGATAGAAAAGATTTGTATGGAGTTGTTGATGATAAAAATCAACTTTTTTAATGGACTATTTTCAGACGAAAATCGGGTGTTGAAACATTTGGTGAACAATATGTCATATGTAAAATGTTTTTCTTTTTACATTCATTTGTGGCACCGTAATTTGTTTAAATCCACTTTGTTGTTAGAAATCAGGATTCTCTTGTTCTGTGGGCCCTTAAAAATTTGCATAAACAAAATGTTGAAATATAAATTTTTCCTAGGTTTTATAAGCAAATCTTTTTGCTGATTAAGTAGTTTTGGTACATTGGCTGCATGTACAGTGAAAATATTTTTTACGGGTTGTTGTACAGATCTGTTTCTTAGTGGTATCATAGACTTATTTATGCAACTGTTACCCTTGAACTTTCTTTATGTGGATCTACCAAGATCTGTGGTTTAATTTGGACTTGGAGCTTAATCAAGAATGTCGCTTGGTTTCTGTTCTCCTTTGAGGTCAGAATAAATCGCATCTGGCACTTATTCCTAAGGGAATGTTTTACTCTGCACTAGAGCCGCATCACACCAATTGTTTTTAATAGATATCAAACAGTGACAAACTGTCAGCAGAGTTCGGGGTGCACCGTAAATCTTAAGATTCATCACATAGCCCTGCAGGAAGAGAAATGGTCAAAGTTTTTTTTTTTGTGAGAACTTAGTTCCATTCTAATCCCACAGTTTATTTAAAATGCTTGTACATTGTGCTTTATACTTCACCTAAAACTGCACATTTTGGTGCAGGTTTTTGTAATACAACGTCTTGGTCATGAGCACTAAAATTGCCAGTAATTTGAAGTGAACAGATGTTCAGAGGGTTTTGGATGTCTCTCGCCGTGAAAAGAAAAGGAACCTGAATAATGCAGAAGACAGCATTGTGTAAATTGCACACTGGGGTAGTAAGGCTCTGTAAATCACTGTTCATTAGGAGGGTAGAGAAGATTGATTTATTGAAGGAAGCAACTGTTAAGACCATCAAAGCTGTCTCCATGGAAGAGGGGCTTCAAATAATGGTGTAGTTTATGATCCAAGGAAATTTGTTCCCTTTCAGGGACACTCAGCAGAATAGTTTACAATTATTTTTTGTCACTTCATCATAGCATTGTGATTTAAGGGCTTTAAAATTCAAGCACCCAGAAGGATGGTCAAGGTTTCACGGTAAACTAACAAAATGAGTTCTGTGTTTTTTTTTAAACAATGGATCATTCCTTTAATGGTGGGCCAAGTACCAAAGTTTAAATATGGATAAGAGTTAGTCTTCTATAGGTATGTTATCAGGCTTTTCGGTAAATAAGCATTTTTCTTTCATTTTTAGAGGAGTTCATATTATTCAAAATATTGTAATGTTGAGTTTCACCGTATTTAAAAGGTTATTTTGTTTCATTTCCTATCAGGAAGCAGAAAGTATGTTATGCATAATCATTTATGGTTTTGCAAGTGCTAATTTCTATTCAATATGGAGTACCCCAAGTGTTTATATTTAATGCTGCCTAATATATGTGATTATCTGCTTTGTGTATTCTGATTTGTTTTCAAATCAGAAGTGAGGGGCTAAAACCATCATGTCACAGGTTGGGAATGTCAATCTGCATCCTATAGGACCCAGTTGATGGTTGGTTTGGGGCTGTTGTGTTTTCTTCAGTGTGAAATCTGCCTCATTTCCAAGCTGTAGATAGCCCTCTTTCCCCAATTAGCCCTTTGAGAAGTGTGCCATCTACTCTATGCAGACTGTTCAGTGTGGTGGAACTTCTCAGCTGGGCTTCCTCTTCGGAAGATGCTTGCTCCCTGAGAATTGCCACATGGGAAAAGTTCCGTGAATGGAGAAGCTTTGAAGTTGAAGCCTGGAAAGCTGGGTTCCCTGACATCTGGGTAAAAGCAGGAAAGAACTTTTCACTAACCCTTTCTTTTTTGATTATTTTCCTTCTTTTGTCACAGTCTGAGCAGCCCAGCCCAGCAAGCTCCACTTCCAGTTCCAGCTCTAGCTCCGGCTTCGTCCCAGTTCAGAAAAGACAAGGTAGTGTTTATAAATGACAGTCCTCCCGATTTTCAAATAAGAGAGCGTTTCAAACTTGACTTCTCATTTATGTCATAATATGTATTTTCATTTTTTATATGAATTTCTTTAAAAATATTGAAAAACATGATTCCCCAAAATACTATAATTGTCAGTTATGGACTGTAACCTCTGCTTATATAAACTATCTTAATCATTAACGGAGTAAAAAATGCTGAATAACATTTAAGTTCTTTATGACAGATGAAATGAAAGCATGATCTGCAGAGTGGAACGCACTAAATAGAATGCAACACTATAATGTCTTGTGGGGAAAAAAAGGGGTATCTTTTAAATTCAATTTGGATTTACTTTTGGATTCATGTTTACCAATCTGGTTTACAAATCCATCTTTAGGTCATTTAGAATCCTAACAAACTAAATAGTTAATATAAAAAATAATATCTTTAAGAAAAAGTTAAAATTTTGAACAAACTCTGCAAATGCTCCAGTCTAACTGATGTATTTCAAATGGATTCGTTTGTTGATTGCACAAATATTTGAAGATGTATAAGAATTAGGCTTTTTGTGTCGCAATATTTTCACTTAAACTGCATCTCAGCCATTCTTCTACTTGTAATTCAAGAAAAAGAGTAGCTTAATTTGTACATACACACTTGAAAGTCATATACAGTACATGGTTAAAACGTTGTTGGTCATCTACAGTATGTTTCAGTGGGTTCTGTTGTGTATGGTTTTCCTAATGGCATCTCATTTTGGTACTTAAAAGTAAAAATGTTATTTTTCAATTGTTTCAGTAATAAAATCCTGGAGTGCCTGCATCTCTGTTCAGCAGTTTTATTGTGGGGAAAAAATAAACTGTTTTTTTTTTTCATGACCACAGTGCCTGACGTGTGCAGGAAGGTTGTAGCTGTTCCTGCGACAGCCCACACAGGTAAAAAAATCCATAACATTGATAGGCGGTGCTCACTGCGGCAGTCAGTAAAGATTCACATCTTTTACTCATCTTCATCTGAAACCAGCCAAATTCATGCAAAAGTCCATCTACAGTAAAGTTTTTAAACTGGCTGATGCCTGGTTTCAACACTGTACAAGTAATCCATTTGAAGTATTTATCAGTTATGGTGGTTCGTTTCAATGAAGTGTCATACACTGACATCTGCTTTATGTACTGGTTTGAATAATTGTGAACTATGTGAGAATATAACATTTCATGCTATAAAATGATTTGATTAGGTGCCTGTTATTATTTTAATCCTTTATCGCCTGTCGAAAAAGAATCTATTTCTGCCTGGTATGATGTCCCCTCAAAAATGTTGTAATATCTCTGGAAGTATTTACAGTACAAGCCTGGTTTATGGCTTAAATTAAACCTAGCCCCTTGGGCTTGAAAGTTTGAATCTCACTCTAAAATCTTTTCCTCTGTTTTGCAAAGAATCTGATCACATATAAGAAAATAAAGCTTACAAGCATTTAGCTTGTGTAGCAGTTAGAAACCCGATGACTTTAAAAATCTGAGGATCTCCTACAACTGCTTCTTGAAAGAAGCCTGACTGTCACTTGAACAATGTGGCTGGGTAGCATGTTCCAGACTCCCACAACACTTTATGTAAAAAGTGCCTCTTGTTCTCTATTTTAAATGCACTTCCACTTGTGTCCTTTGGCTCATGTTTCACTGCTAATTCTAAAGAATTCTAATGAGTTGACTTAATCAATGCCCTTGAGGATTTTGAATACTTGGATCAAGTCCCTTCGTATTTTTCCCTTTTCAAGGCTAAAAATATTCATTTCTTTTATCTTGTTAGTTTAGGATATCCATTTAACCCTAGTAATGAATCTAATTCCCCTGAACTACTTCCAGAACAGCCATATTTCTGTAACATTGTGACTAAAATTGTACACTATTTTAAACACAATGTAGCTAATGCATTGTAAAAAATATAATGTTAACTACTGTATATTCTATCACATTTGCCTCTTTTATTGCTTATCCACATCTTAAATGCCTGCCTTACTCATTGATAGCTGACTTAGAGTGTTACACCTTATGTTTGTTTTTGGTACCTGCACATACTGTAATATTCTCCTTTTGTGGACATTAAATGTCATGTGCCAGGTGTTTGTTCAGTCTTGAATTATTTGTTTATATTGCAGCTTCAACAGTGTCTGCTAATCCTGCTCATTTGGTATTGAAAGCAAACATAAAAAAATCTGGATCATTGATATAACTACCAGAGTCCTAATACAGATCCTTATAGTTCTCCCCTAATTTTATTACCCCCATGTGAACATTCACCACTTACCTATACTCCACTTTCTATCCGTTAATTATTCTTAATCCAAAGACATGCATCACCTTGAAACTCTACTGTCAGCAAGTTAAGAATTCATCTTTTATAAGAAATCTTTTCAAAGACCTACTGAAAATCTAAATATACCTTATCATATGCACTACTTTTATCCCTTTTTGCTGTTAGAAACAGAAGTAAAAAAGCATTCCTTGCTTATCAAAAAGCATTGAGTACAGGAATGTCCATGAACAATGATCTATAACAAAACTGTATCAAGGCTGATCACAGAATATTTATATTGAGGTTGTTTGAAACTAAAGAATAATTCTTGTATTAAAAATCTTGCATATAGAGAATAATAAACAGTATGAATACACCAATGAATTACTGAATTAGAAAATTCTTTCTTTGGCAGTCTTGGGTCCATTGAGGTCAATAATGCAAGATCTTCATTCAGATGACAATGAAGAGGATTCAGAAGAGGAGGAGGATAATGAAAATGACTCTGATATGGAGCGGCCAGCACACACACACATGATGCACAGACATCGCAGGTCAGGGTCTACTTTCACATTCTTGGGGTCCTCAAATCATGGGCTGTAAAATTGGGTGCAGCTGATTTTCATTATGGATTATTAAAAATGAAGATCATGCTTTTAGCTGAATTTATACCCTTTATTTAGAGTGTGTGGTATAATGGTCTTTTACATTGACTTTTCTGTTGAAGGATTTGTGAGTTTGAAAGTTGGTGAGCTTTAAGGATATGGATGGACATGAACACTTTACTGGTCATGTAGGCCTCTTTCCACAAACCAAAACCTTGAAGATTTTAAGTGTGGCCATGCTGTCATTAGCACCACTGCAACAGTAAACAAATCTATAATTATAAAATGGATTTAGTGTGACAATGATATCATATATAAATAATTTCTACACCCCTTCCTAATTTAATTTAAATGTGGTAGTATGCATGTCTAAATTCTGTACTTCTTAAAAAATAATGTAGCAGAGTTTGATTTTAAAAACCCACAACCATCTTGGTCCTGATGTATTATATGTATGGCTCAAATATGCATAACGAGCATCTTATTAACTTCCAATCCAACCCGCTTAAAAGCCATGACCTGATTGACACACAAACAAAAACTTAGTCTACATAAGATCATGCATCATTTTTGCAGAAGCAATTATAGCATAGGTTCAATAGCATGTGTTTCCAGAAGTGCTCTTTCATATGTATGAATGATGTACAGTATGAGGACTTCAATTGTTCCATTTGTAATGACATAACTAATATAATTTTTGTGCTGTGTGTTATTTTATACAGGTGGATTTGACGTCATTAAAGTAATGGCCAGATCAAATAGCCTTTTGGCAAATCATAATTGGTAGAGACACCATTAAATGAGGCATTGCTGCACTGTTACAAAATAGTGACAATTATGTTTAAACAAAACCATAAACCCATTCCTAACTTTTGCTAGTTACTGTGTAGACGGAGAATGTCCTCTGTTTCTGGTTTCAGCTGACTCCTTCTTTCTTGTAAAACAAATCCTGCCATTGAAAAATCTTTCAGTCAGCGTACTGGTTGCCAAAATTGATAAGACGAAGCAAGTTATTTAAGCCAGGCAGGGGAACACAAGAGGCCTTTCCAAAAAGATAGGAGATCAAACTCTTTATCTTTGCTTGCTTTAGGAATATGATTACATTCATTTGAAAGCAAAATTATGTCATCACTACAATACTCAACATCTTCTAAACCATTTGCTGAGGACATTTCTCTAAGTCTCAGACTTTACTGGTGTCTAGATGGCTATAAGTTTTTTGCCTGAAGACGATCTCTTCAGGAAGGCTTTGTCCTCGAGTGCAGACGAGTAGGTTGTATCTGTTAGAGTGGTCATAATATTAGTGCTTCCAGTCTGTCGTTTGAAAAACAAAACATCCAAAATAAGCTTCTGTGTTGACTGTATGATAGCTGGCTTTATGTTCTCTGCTGCCTATTGTCATGAACTTTCCCATTAATTTGTACACAAAACTCTGTCATCATCCATTTGTCATCAAGCAGTGTTTAAGAATAAACACAATGCCCACAAGCACCAACCTAATTCAACAGATTTTACATTTTCAGAAACATACTTCTGTGCCTCGTTTACTTAAGATTCCCTGTTGTTTTTGGGAGTGGTGGAACAGTGGAAGTGTTAAACTTACCTTTTTGAGGAAAATAGCTGCCTATATCTCCAGCCATTGGAAGAGAGCTACACTTGTGTTTCCAGAGGACTGGCCTTCTAATTTCATTGCTGTCACAGAGGAAAAATAGGTTGACACATTGGGCTGGCAAATAATCCACTTAGTCAATTATAATTGTTTTCATTTGTGATTAATCCAAAATATTTCCACTTCCAATTTTCCTTTTGAGCTGCATTTGTTATATTTGCCCTGGTCTGTCTTTACATTGATCGAGCTGTCTTCCATTTTAATCAGCTACTGTAAGGCTAGCTGTTGCTTTAAATGGTATGTAAGATGTGTGCAAATGAGTTAGGAACAAAATATTAACAAAAATACATTGAACTGGGATCCTTTTTTATGTAAACGTTTCAGAGCGGTGCTGGTACTATTTCTGCAATATTCAGAGTGTTTTTATGAGTTGTTGAACACCTTGTGGGTGATTGCAAATGTCCATGATTTCCATTGAAGCAAGTGAGCTGGTTTCTGTCCACTTCATGGCAAATCAGTTGCTGACCAGTCTTCTAACACCAGAAACAGTAATTGTTTCCATACTCTACATACAGCCTTTAATTTTATATGTTGAGGTTATAGGACTTCAACAGGGGTATTGCTGTTTCTGTTAGAGGGCCACCAGCTATTGGCATTTAGTGAGAGGGCAGAACCATTTTTTAAATTAAAATGACTTTTATCAACTTAAGAAATGTCATATCTTTTTTTGTTGGAGTTATAACTGCGTCTCAATGGAAATCTTTACTACGATATGGTGCCCTTAACTTTGTTGCTTCTGCAGGGTAAGTTTAAGTGATGGCAGCGACAGTGAGAACAGCTCTGCTTCTTCACCTCCTCCCCGCAGTGACCCCCCGCCTTTACTGAAGACCAGCAATAACCAGGTAAGAGAGAGACGTGCTGTCTCCTCTCAATACCTGTGCTGCCTACCTTCAGTTCACCTTTGCCTTCAGTTTTGTTAATGTTTTGGAAATGCTTACATTAAATTTAGAAATTAAGTACATGTTAATATTGAAGTCGACTGGTAAAAAAATATATAATTTCAGAGTAAAAACAGAAATACATTTTTGTTTATTACATCTTTACTTTTGTATTATTATGACATCTCATTATACTGTTGAATACAGCTGCAAAAAACAAGTAACTACTTTGGATACAGCCTCTAGACTTATTCCTGAGGTGTTTTGAAAACTTGAACAAATTATGGAAAAATATGTGCACTTATCATGTAAAACAGTTTTCTGTGAAGTAATATTTGAGAAAACATATCACTTTGCATAAGTTGTTCATTGATAGATTCCATTAGTTAATTTAATCCTCTTTTGCAGATTCTTGAAGTAAAAAGTCCAATAAAGCAAACAAAACCAGAAAAAAACATTAAAAATGGGGACTGTGACAAGGTAAGTCTTGGCCTTTTCTTTGTCATTGTAATGAATCGTGCACAGTAATTTTCTATTTATTTTGAAGCAGCAGCTTTAGAATGGCAAATGTTCAGTATTGGTATTGAAAAATTCATATAACAGTTTGGAAGAACGGTTTTTATATAATTAAGTTGTTTCAATGATACGATATGAAGACTATTAGCACTTTCAGAATTTTGGTATTGTTTCCAGTGAAACAATGACGTTTACAGGGTTTTTTTAAGGTTGATTTTAACAATGTCTTTTAATGTGACGAATAAATCATTTACACAATGGCCTGGCTGTGTACAGTGGGAATATGTGCCCAACAGATTTTAGAAGGTGAAAATCAGTTTCAGGGAAAGGTTTGTAAACCTCATAGTCTGTGATTTACATTAGTATTGTATGTAAGCTCTTTCAAATGTTCCCGTCTTTGCCCTCGCCCTCACTTTCCTATCCCAAGCAACAGTAAAGTGAGGCATTTCAGTTAGATGTATAGCAAAATGTTTACTTTTCCTAGCCACAGCTTTCATGGTTTATTAGTGTCATTCAGCTGGTACTTGATTATTTGTTTATCCCTGCCTAACAAAGATGACATTGTTGGGGGGGAGAGAGCCACTACCTGAAATCTGTCATACTTGGAGGAAAAGAACTGTATCTATTAAGCTACCCCCCCCCCAAAAAAAAAAAAAAAACCTGGTGAGGAACTTGCAGCCCAGGGTAGTATAGGATATTAGAGGAGTATAAAATAGAAATGAAGTCTAGGGGCTTTTTACAAGTTTAAATACAGTGGTCAAGCCTGTCTGAGCATGCTGTGGATGCTGTTTCATCAAGATCCTTTAGCATGTGGCTTGATGAATTTCCTGGCTCAATAAACAGTTAGAAAGCAGTGGATCAAAAGTTAATACTTACATTGCCTTTCGTATCATTTTGCAGTATGCTGTATTCCTGTTCAAACTAATGTTACTAAGCTACAGACCTTTTCACTTTATTAAGAAACATATGTTAAAGTTTAAGTGTAATATGGAGTCTGTGGAGTTTACTGAAATCCTCACTTGTTACTTTTTAAATTCCTTTTATGACACTGGGCTTTTAAGCAGTTTGTAGGTGATTCTTGTGAATCAAGCTCTCTTATAGATCATAGATCCATATTTGCCAAATTTAATTTAAAGTATCTTAATTTGAACAGAACAATATTAAAGGGTTAAGATTGTGGCTTATTAATTTTCATAATTTTTCAGGGTTTATAAATATTGTCTTAGAGTGCTCCTGGGACAAGCAAGGCACCTGTTGAGTCTTAGGATGTCTTATTGGATATGAGCTCATGCAGTAAGATTGCCTGTGTTCTTTTTGAGCTGTCAACTATCGATTAATCATTAAATCTAACTGTTCACTGTTGCATTCCATTAATGTGATTTTTGCAGGCCTATCTGGATGAGTTAGTTGAACTGCACAGAAGGCTGATGACATTGAGGGAGAGACATATACTGCAGCAGGTAGGAATTATACTTCCATCTTGCTCTAAAATGAATGAACTGCTCAATTGATAACATTTTCAGAATTGCCTTTTGGAATATTCTGGGACATGGTAAGCAGTGCATTGTTAAAGCAATGGTGTTGGTGTTGGGGAAAAAATAAACCAATGTAATAGTGATAGTTTATCTTATGGCTAACTAAGTGGTTAACTGCCCTAGGGTATTTATAGCTTTCTTCCTGGTATTTGGGTTCACTCCCACCTCCTAAAGATGCTTTGCTAAATTGATTTGCTATGCAACATTGGCTTTCCTGTGAGGTCCAGAAGTGGAGATCCTTCCTTACTGTAAACAGGGTGTATCTCTGCTCCACCATAATGTAGGTGGGATAAAAGTTCAGGTGAAGAAGAATAGTTTGGCTTATCTCATTCAATCCTACACTGACAAATACAGCAGTACAATCATCCCATGTTTTAGAAATAATCATTTTACAAAACTATGCTACATGTAAATTGATACCCATTGATCTGTATGCAAACATTTTTGCCAAAAATATCCCTTTGTTAGCGAGCAGTCTTTGGTAAGTATTGAATGCCTGAGAAACTAGATCCAAAACCGTGTCTTTCATTATCAAAAATCTCCCACTTCGTCCATGTAATTTGTAGTGTTTCTGTGACATACTCTTGTGATTATGTATGATATTTTACAAAGCAAATTTCCAATCTCATAATGCAATAACATAAGTAGTTATATGAATCAAATGGACCCAAGAAAACAAAAGTTTCTTTAGGTGATGTGGCAGAAGCAATGAGCACAATTTTGGTGGCAACTAAATTGGAGAAAATTAAAAGAATTGGCAATAACCAACAATCCAAGGACATTTGTACTTCAGTGAACTATTAATTTCTTGGCATTTATTTTTTGTACTTTTGTTTAGTAATTTAAGGTTTTATTGATGAAAAACATCAAAAACATGTTTACTTAAATTCTGATGTATATACTGTACATTACAGTAACTATTGTACTTTACTGTTCACACTGAAAAAATGAAAAGTTTTCTATTATGTTAACTAGAGCTAAATAGGTAATTATCATAAGTATCATTGTTATTTTAATGATTGTACTATTCTAAATTATGTGAAAATTGTTGGGATTTGTCTAGAACCAGAGGCTTTTTTGTGTAAAATGATGTTTTCATTTTCAGTTTGCAAATTTTAGCTTACAGTTTTCATGGAATGAATGTTCATAAATTGATGGATTTCCTGTACTTATTTTAGAACAAAAGTCACTTTGTAAGCCCTTCGGAAAGCATGGAGCTAAGTGCTGAAGTTTTGTATAAACAATTAGCTTTGTCAGGCGGGTTGTATTTCAGATGGAAATTAGGCATTTTTAGGAGATGTGTGGGATAAAACTGGACATGCACCCTGGCTCAGTACTGCTGTCTCAGAAACCATTTACAGTTACAAATAAAAGGAATATGATGTGAATCATTGATGGTAAACCTTTTGACATTATCTGAGGAGGGGTGAATACCAGATCAGTTAGCCTCTGATACAGTCTGAGAGATGCTGGGTGAAGTAAAATGAACTGGAGTCCTTCTCTTAGAAGACAACACCTAAGGGGAATGTGGTTAGAGGACCTCCCTTTCTCCAGGCTACCTACTAAGAGATATTGTCTTGACTAGCCTGTTCTTGATGTACCCAAACATAAAAGCATTAGTAAATACAAGGATGACCTCTGTTCAGCCCTCCAGTACCCACTGCAATCTTTCTTTGACTTATACAAGACAAGGCTACTGCCTTTACATATGTGCATGTTTTTCTATAATGATGATTTTTTATTTCATTTCCAGTCTTTACTTGGTATTTGTATACCTTCTACCTATAAACTGTTCAATAAAATTAGAATTCAGACTTAATGTACTGATTCTTCTAAGTGCAAAAAGACACTAGTACCATTCAGACATTTCAAAGTAAAACACCATGCTTTTTAATTTTTGCACATTGTGTTAAATGGTACTACTGCACTTTTATTAATGTTGCATTTGCTTAGTCCTTTTTTTAAAATGAGTGGAATGCAGTAGAAGATTTATAAAGACCTGTTTAACTAATAAAAAGCTGCATTTAACCCTAATGCGTGGTAACTGTATCAGAAAGTCACACTTCTCTGATTTATCTTTTAAAAAAATCAGTTGCATATTCCAGTTCTTCTTGTTTTTTGAATGGAATTCCCTTTGTGCCTTTGGTAAAATCTAAGCAATCTTGAAAGGAGGTTTGGGAATTTGCCACATGTGCTAAGAATTGAGAGAGTAGAATTGAAAAGGCACCAGAAATTCTGTGGGGATTTGCAAACCAGGGAGGTTGACTCTTCTGTGTTTGACAGGAGTATTAGCATTCTGTTTTCCTGGGTTGAAGCTAGCTGGAAGTCACCACATACAGTACATACCCAATAAGAGATTAAGGAAGAAACAAAAAAAGCACATGCACAGCATACTAAAGTGTTCCACATGGATTTCATTCTGTAGGCCATGGAAGATGGAAACCATTAACATCAATTTTTTTTATTTTTTTTAGGAGACCGCAAATTGGAAAATTAGCTTATGTCATTGGGAAGCCTTTTTTGTAGATTGTTTGCCACAAGTGAAGAGTTTTTGTATTAAATGTGCAAAGGAAGCTGGGTGGTATTTACCCCCTGTATAAATGAAAACATAAATTAGTGACAAAAAACAGGAATGGATTGTTTTTTGACCTGATATATCCATGCTTAAATTTAAGATGCAAACAATTTGTTGCTCAGAATATTAGCATGTGTTATCAAGCCATCTGAATTGTATCCTGGATGTCATAATACCCCTCTGGGTTTCCTAGTTTTTGGCCAAACTTACGGAATTTTAAAAATGCTTTCCACATGGACACTTGCTTTGTAGTGTGAATAAAACCAGGTCAGTATGAGTGCTGCTACTATGAACCGGCTTCTTCAACCCAGACATTGTGGAGTCCTGATAATCAATTATATGTTTTGAATAAATGAATGAAAAAAATAACTATTACCAGACTGCATTGTTTCTTCCCCCAGGTGTGAAATGTACTTCAAATTAATGTAATTCTTAAATATTTTGTAACAAGCCCTTTTATATCTACAATGAGCATGTTTTGAACCGTCATTTTTTTTATGAGTGACCTCTTCTGCTGTAACTATAACGTGATTCCTGTCTTCCCTTTCATTTTCACTTGTTTTTTCTTCATTCAGTTTACTTTTGGGATGAATGTTTTGCTTACTATAATGCTAATTTTTAGCCTTTTGCCACAAAGTATCAAAGGCATGGGGTGTGATAAGGTTCAGACATTGATTACATTTTTTGCCGTCACTTTTTGATTGATCATTTATGACTGTGAGACACCCAAGTGACTTGGGCAGTTGGGTAAGTGCTGAATCACATCAGTAAGAGAGTTGATTAGACTCAGGAGATGAGATGATTTAATTTGCTGAATGTCAAACTTGGTGAAAATCAAGAAAAGAATAAATACACCCTACTTATCAAAGGAGAACACTTTTGTGTTGTTATGCTGGAGTAACACTGCAGGTGAATATGCAGCAGTGGAGTCTTGTCCTCTTAATGAATAGTGGTTTTGTATAAAGCACCATTATGGACAATTACATTGAGTGTGGTGTGTGAAGATGTGCTCCTTTTTGTGTACAAAAGACCAATTGATGGGGATCTCTGGGCAGGAGTGGTTAGTCACTTGCAGAACTCTACTTGTAGTCATGACAACCTGACTGCACATTGATCCTGGGATCTCATCTGATGCCCTTCCCGCAGGCTCTTCCTGACATCATAACATTCCAGCAGGACAGTAAATGTCTTCATGCTGCTTGGCTCACAATGGTTTTCTTGTGAAGATGAGAATGTGATCGTTGCCAGACTAGAGTCCCGTTGAACATTTGTGGGATGAACTGGCACAGCACTGAACAATTATATATCCAAATTCAGTGAGAGGAATGGGACAGAATCTCACAAGATGGCACCTATTGCAAACCATGCAGCATTGAAGCAATACAGCTTGTATTGCTTCCAATCGCAGACATATACTAAATCCCGTGATTTTAAAAGCAGACCTCCTCCCCTGTTAATCATAAATGTTAATCGGCACAATATACTTTAACAAACCCTTGAATAAGATGCTTTTATACGAATGTATTCCCTCCATCATCATTTCATTGAGCATTGAGGTTCAGACTCACAGTGGAATATTCTACTGTATATACAATGTACAAAAGTTCTAGAGGACAAGGTAGTGAAGGGCTATATTGCGTTTTTCAATAGAGCTAAGCTTAAAAAAACTAGGATTGAAGTTGTCAAAACATTTAAGAAAGGAAACCGCTGTGAAAAAGGATTTGTAACTACAAGCAGAAATTAAAAATCAAGTGTAAAAGCTGTGCTGTGTGATTTTCCAAAGCATTGCAATCAAAATACAAGTTTGCTTATTTTTTTAATCACAGAATTTAAGCATATCATTTTAATAGTTCAGGTGGGTAGCTCCATCATTGGAGGACATTCCTTTAATTCCTGAGATGTTCTGGTCGCACTTTTAATTTTTCAAATATTTAGAATGCCCGCTTATTTTTGTTATACCATTCGATTGGGAACTACCAGTTGTGGTTTTTTAACTTTCTGGCTCACAGCTACAAGCCTCACCCACCTGTGAGAGAAAGTGGTGGTGGCACTTAGGCCACTACCTGGGCCTAAGGCCTAAGAATACAGCTCATAATCGACTAATGACATGACCCAAGCTCAAACCTGCAATCGTAGAGGTCGGCACTTGGGTAGCACCTTTACGGGTTAAACTACTCCATGTGGTTAGACTGTGTGGCTTTACAGGTTGAAACTTCCATGTGCTCTTCTCTGGATTGATTTCCAACTAACAGTTGTAACATGGTGATCATACTTGTACACAACAGTCTAAACTGCATTGTGGTTTTATACTGCATTGTAAATCCCATGATTTAAATTGTTTTGAACTACATATCCTAACACTGTTTTCTTCCCTGCATGTCGAGTTTTAAAATAAAAAGGTGCTTATGAGCATGCATGCATTCTAATTCTTTTCATGGGTGGCTTCTTCAGGCTGTTCTTTTCGGGGCTTATATGTGTAATATATACTGCTTGCATGTTATTGCAAATACTTGACTACATTAAACAGCAACTGTCAGTTGTTTGTCTTCATCTTGTGAAAACTATTTGAAGCTTATTGGCAGTTTTATAGTGTTTTCTGAGTATTCACTGAATTACTTACTGTACAGAATCTAGATCGTTAATCAAAAAAAGGAAAAGCTGTAGTCCTCATAGACCCCTGTTGTACTTTTAATTACATCACTGATTACTGACTTTGCTGTTTTTTTAGCACTTAACCTGTTATGAATCAATCAGTTGGAACATTAGTGTTTTGCTTGTTTCAAGAGCTGTTAAGTAACTATCTCCAGGGTCCTTTTACCACATATGTAATCATTTGTATTAGTTCTAAGTATTGTTTCCATAACTGTACATAAAGACGTAAGATCAATTTGTCTATAATTGCTACAAGTCTCCCAATCGTATATACTTAGGTGCTTCTAGTACCTATAACAATTCTGTCTCTTCTGTGTTTAAACTATTTAATATCTATAGAACTTCTCATCCTTAGCCTGAGGCATTTTATTTCTTCCTTGCTAAATGATTGAGTGAAATATTAATTGAAAACATCAGCCATTTCTTTTATGACCTGGAAGTTTCCCATTATTATCTTGGAGATCTTTGACTTCATTCGTTGTTTTTTAGCTGATTTTTACAATTGGGTTCTGGATTGCATGGTCTCCTTTTGGCTGTGAGGCAATTTCCAAAGTGCTCCAGGTGTCCTTCCACAGTCCGAAGACCTGTTCTCCAGGTTATGTGGGATCTCTAGTGAGTGCGTGTCACCTTCAGTGGTCTGGCTTTTCATCTAAGGCATAGCTTGCTTGTACATTTTATCTGCTGGAATGGATTGAGCCTCTAAAGATAAAGCAGTTATTAAAAATTGATTAATATACAATGAGGCTTGGGATTGAGCTTTGTATATACAGTACTGGCAGTGCAGCGTGTTTTACAGAAAACATGCAAGGAAACTTTGTACTGAAAGTGAAACATCTTAGGTTGACCATAATTGTATTCTATGAAGGGGTTTTTCATCTTTTAATTAAACAGATTTCCCAATAACTCTTTATTTCTTTCCTTTTTTTGGGATATAAGTTTGTCATGGTACAATTAGGCATAATTCACACAACAATCATGGTAAAAATGAAATCACAACATGTTTTTATCAATTGAAAAAGATTAAGGGTAAGGTATGTCAGTGTGAAGTTACTAAACATTAATGCAGCTATTTTAACTCCCATCAAAATAAGATATGCACATTATGCATTAAACAAACCTAGGCATAATGAAAAACTATAAAACCAACCTTATCACCTGACTCTTGATTAGCTGCAGTACAGATTTTAGGCTCTAATTTGAGTAAATTTCCATTGTAAATTTTCAATTTTGGAAAACTGTACACTGTAAAGCACATCTTTATGTAATGAGAAAGAACATTCTGTCTCTGTGCTGTTGACTGGCACTGCTAAAGGTAGTTGCTGGCAGATTTCAGTGTACCTCAGTTGTGCATATAATTTTGCTGTGGATGAGAAGGAATAGCATATTAAGTGTCAATAAATGTATTCTTATTCTCGATTTCTTTACAGACAAAGTGGTAGTAGGCAAAGTGGGGGATGAGTGAGTGTTATTTAATAACAGTGAGTTTGTTTTCTTTTTATTTAAAATTCAGTTTTGATTTTGAATGTGTTAATTTATTTCAAGGTTTTCAAGGTTAACAGAAATTTTGTGATAATGAAATTACAATAATACTGCCTTTTATGTATTTAGATCCAACTACAGAGAACACCAGGTGGAGAAAATTGCTTCACCAATTTAATTAAAGGTGAAACTTCGGGGATACTAATTTATACAAGCTCAGATTTTAGCAAGGACAAATGAGTTCTTTTAACCAACCATTCCCCATTGTCAGCACATCTTTGTTCAGTCACATGCTATATGGGTTTGACTCGTTTGTTTTCTGCAGCTGAATATAGAGTATTTCTGGATTTGGCTTTCCAGACTCTTTGGTACCACAAATAATATTGCAGCTTGTGAGTTCAGCTTCAAATCATGAAATAATTTTAAGGGCTTCAAAGGTACAAATGTTCTTGCATTTAGATGTTGCGTTTCATTCTGAATGGTCCCACAGCATTTAAGGTAGTCGTCAACATGGGTCAAGACTAGAATGTACAGTGCTGCTAGAATGCTGGTGAACCCTTTAGAATTTTCTGAATTTCTGCATAATTGTGACCTAAAATGTGATCAGATCTTCATCTAAGCCATAAAAATAGATTAAGAGAATGCAAAAAAACAAATAACACACAAAAGGATATACCTTTTCTTTTATTCATTGATCAAAATGATCCAACATAAAATGTCTTTGTTGGAAAAAGTATGTGAACCTTGAGGATTATCAGTTCAGTTGAGGGGATAGAGTCAGGAGTGCCAATCAATGGGATGACAATCAGGTGTGGGTTTGGGTGGCCCTGCCCTATTTAAAAAACATAAACCTGAGTCGTCACTACCAAAGGCTGGTCTTCATCACACAGATTTGTGATTGAATGCCATGCCTCGATCAAAGATTTCTGAGGACCTCGGACAAAGAATTGTTGATGCGCATCAGACTGGAAAAGGTTACAAAACTAATTCTAAAGACTTTGGGGTTCACCAATCCACTGTCAGGCAGATAGTGTACAAATGGAGAAAATTCAACACCATTTTTACTCTCTCCAGGAGTGGTTGTCCAACAAAAATCACTCCAAGAGCAAGGCGTATAATATTCCGGGAGATCACAAAGAACCCCTGGGTAACGTCTAAGGATCTGCAGGCCTCTCTTGCACTGGCTAATGTCAGTGTTCATGAGTCCACCATCAGGCAAACACTGAACAAGAATTGTGTGCATGGGAGGACAGCAAGGAGGAAGCCACTACTCTCCAAGAAGAACATTGCTGCCCATTTAAAGTGTGCTAAAAACCACCTGGATGAGCCAAAAGAATACTGGAAGAATGTTCTGTGGACAGATTAGTTGAAAATAGAACTTTTTGGCTTAAATGAGAAACATTGTTTGGGAAAAACCAAACACTACATTCCAACATAACAATCTCATCCCAACTGTGAAACACGGTGGTGGCAGTATCATGGTTTGGGAGCTGTTTTTCTGCCACAGGAGCAGGATGGCTTGCCATCACTGACGGAACTATGAATTCTGGATTGTACCAGCAAATTCTACAGGAGAATGTCAGGGTATCCGTCCATGAAATGAAGCTCAACAGAAGGTGGGTCTTGCAGCAAGACAACCACCCTAAACACACAAGTCAGTCTACCAAAGAATGGTTGAAGCAGAAGAAATTTTGTTTTTTGGAATGCCAGAGTCAAAGGCCAGACCTTAATCCAGTAGAAATGTTGTGGCAGGACCTGAAGCGGGGAGTTCATGCAAGAAAGCCCACCAACATCACTGAGTTGAAGCAGTTCTGTAAGAAGGAATGGGCCAAACTTCCTCCAAGCCGATGTGCAGGACTGATCAACAGTTACTGTAAACGTTTGGTCATTGTTGCTCAAGGGGTTACACCAGTTACTGAAAGTGATGGTTCACATACTTTTTCCGACAAAGACATTTAATGTTGGATCATTGTGATCAATACATGAATGAAAACGTATATCCCTTTGTGTGTTATTTGTTTTATTGGATTATCTTTATTTTTATGACTTAGATGATGATCACATTTTATATAGGAATTCAGAAAATTCTAAAGGGTTCACCAACTTTCTAGTACCACTGTTTGTAGATGATAACCCATTGTCTCAGCAGCGTCTTCAGCTTTGGCTTCTAGAAGTAGAGATTGCCTTACTGCTAGCTGGAGAGTGCTAAAAATCATTTTATAACCTTCCACTGTGAAATGCCTTCCAGGCAATTGTATTAGTGACATTGTGCTCCTCAGTTCAAGTGTCTCCCAGCCTCATCCATAATTTTCTGCTTCAGTTCAGCTTCCTGCTTCCTTTAATATCCTAGGAATTAATTAGTTTCATTAATATGAATGCATGCTGTATGTTTATAATTAGGACAGTGACAGAACCCTTAATAAAATAGAGGAATGGGCATGGGTTCTTTCATCAACCTTTCCCAGTCTTAATACTACCATTCGTTCATTCATTATCTGCTTTATCCAAAACTGGTTTGTGGGGGAGCTAGAGCCTAACCCAGCAGGCAATGGGCACAAGGCAGGATACATCCTGCAAGGGATGCCAGTCCATCACAGGGCAACACACAAACACAGACACATTCACACCAGGGCTAATTTTTCCAGAAGCCAGTTAACCTACCAGAATGTGTTTGGCCACTGGGAGGAAACCGCAGCTCTGGAAGGAAACCCATGTAAACGGAACATAAAAACTAGACAAAAGTAGCAGCCCAGGTCCAGAATTAAGCCCAGGGCCTCAGCACTGTGAGGCAACAATGCTAGCAACTATGCCACTGTGTTGCCCTGCTACTAATCTTGTTCTGTGTATATGTAATGGTTGTCTACTTGAAATCTTGGAGAATACTAAGTCTGTTCCTTCTATATGTGAATCACTTAACTATACTGCTCTGTTTTGATTTTATTTATGTATTGTATATAAATGTTCCCCACCTCCTCTCTCTTACAGATTGTCAACCTCATTGAAGAAACTGGACACTTTCACATAACAAACACTACATTTGACTTTGATCTTTGCTCATTGGACAAAACTACAGTCCGCAAGCTTCAGAGTTATCTGGAGACCTCTGGAACCTCTTGAGATTCTAGCAGCTGGCTGCAATGAGGAAGAAGGAAATGAGAGACCTCCAAATGTTTTACTTGAAATTATGCAGCGATGCAACCAATCTGCCTAGTCCCAAGAATACTGCTCTCAACAGCTTTATTTTCTGGAAGCAGGATATTTCTCTTGATTCAAGAGTGGAAGACAGTGAAAATGGAAGCATTGGAAAAATCACCCTCTCCATAAGATGATTCCTTTACACCCAGAGCTAATTCTGGTTGTGCTCACCTGGAAAGCCTTGAAAACAAAAAACAAACAAACATGTAACTTGCTCTTAATGAATGTGTATTGTTATCATACGTCTCTTTGTGATTTTCTGATCTTTGTGATGAATGCATGTTTGACACTGCCTTACTATATTATTGGTCTTTATTGAATTTCAGATATCAGAGATTTAGTGAAGAATGTCAGAATATTTTACCAGCACTCCAGCAACAAACATGTCTAAGGGTCTGTACTAGGTAGACAATGTCTTTCTGATGTACGAGATAAAACTTAATCTAAATGTATGAGAGGAACTTTTGATTAAGTGTGAAAGGGATCAGAAATCTTTGTACTGTAAATCGTATAATAAGATTCCATTGCTGAGAAGCTACAGGCAGTAATTCTGTATTTTCCCTTAATATTACATAAGTGTGTCATGAAAGAACAGCATTCTACATAGCATGTCATGATTATTAATTCATTTGAATTGCAGCATTGTTAGGATTCAACTTTATGTAAAAAAAAAAAATCACTAACCCTCAAAGGATTACAGTATATTTGAATGCCCTTCTGGGTAAAAAATGTTGGATATCTTAATTAGATACTGACAAGGCAGTTCAGGTTTCAAAGTCAGGCTGCGAAGGAAATAATGACTTTCACATGTGCACTGTTTTCCAATGGACGGCATTGGTGAAGCTTCAAATTGTATAGATGCAACATGAACAGTCACAGTTCTCTACATCCCTCGCATTGGCCAGCGTCTGTACGCTGAGACTAATCAGGTAAAGAGACTAACGTTTATGCTGAAATCAAAACCATACTGTCTTGGGACTGGTGGGATGATAATTATATTCTTACAAGTGTAAGAAATGTTGTAGAAATGTATTTTTTGCTGTTTATTTATTTTTAGGGGACCTCAGTTGCCAAAATTCAGTTATCTTCTTTTTGCTCTGCATGGAGAGAAACTCCATTGCTTTCTTTTGCTGGGGCAAACTCTGTTTTGTTGATATTTTATGAGATAATGGAATGTTCCTTTTGCTGGTTTTTGGGAACCAAGCCTACTAAACAGGAAGTCAAATCCCAATCCCAAGAATTTCTTAAAGGCAGGAAATGCAAGCCAGCTTTAGCACTGATATTAATTGTTTGTGTGTAAGCAAAGGCAGTTGCTGTCTTCCCTGTGTCACTAAGTTAAAGAAGAATTCTTTTGATAACCCTGAATATTGTGAAACAAAGGTGATTGGGGAAATAATGCTGGCATTTCTAATTTGTCTATGATATAGTTTTAAATTTTGTTTGGATTTATGTTAAAAATGATGGCACACATCAGTTATTTTTTGGTTTCTCATCCCAAAGATTTTTTTTACAAATGTCAATGTTACTTTTTTTTCCACCTGGAAGTCCTTGGCCTGCTTCCATGAAGAGGAATACATTTCTGTGTTCCACCTCTGAATCAGCATGTATGTTACTTGAAGCATTATTACTTTGCTAGTACCCAATGTGCAATCATTGCTATAGGACTATGTAACATCACAAATAATGGTGTGTCGGAAGTATGTTTTTTTTTTTCATTTCCATCATGATTGTCCATGTATGTGAAATGACATCTTCACCAATGGCAGCCTTGAAACTGGATTTGTTTATGTGCACTTGCCTTGGTTTTATTCTTAGTCCATTTAAATGTTCAACCTGGCTGTTCTGATTATTTGTGGTAACATTCTGCTCAGGTATGAGAAGGATTAATTTTATGTCTTAAAATAGCTGTCTGAACTCACTGTAGAATGATCGTGGACTTGATTACTGGAATTAGAAGATGAGAGGTGTGGTTAGTGCTCTGAAAAGTTGAAAGAGGCTGGAAAACCCTCAACTGAGAGCAGGCCTATGACAGTTTCGATGTAAGACATTGTTCTGAAATCATATCACAGGAATTTGCCACAAATGAGCTGGAATGGTCTACTAGTTGCGTTACACTCCTAAAATGTACATTTAGCTATTTTCATCTAACTGTTTTGTATGAAGAAAAAATAAAAAAGCTTTTTTCAAAAGAATATTTTATTTTTATTTCGGAGAATGAAAGTAGAGGTATAATTTAAGCTGAACTTTTAAAAAGGAAGCAGTTTAACCTAGACCCTTCCTCTGGCTGTATATGCTTTACCATAAATGATCATTTTACACTACATAGTTTTAGGAGATAATTTATAATCTTGTAACTACACTTTAAGTTGCAGGTAACAATGCAAAAATGCTGTTGTAATAAAAAGGTTATCTGTTGTATTGAAGTTCTTCCTGTACGTGTTATACATTGTGTATTTACTTTTTGCATTATAAAAGCTTTTGTAGCTATAAACCTTTTGCAAGACATAGGAAAGTATCACCCTAATTTCTTAAAACATATGTGTGTTGGTTAATTTTATTTGTTGCAGGAAGTCGTAGGATGAGATGGATTGTTTCCAACACTGACTTTTTTTTATAATAATTTTAGATGAACTTCCTTTTGGAGTTTTAAGACCTTGCATGAAGGGTCTTAGTCATCAGCTAGGTTACAATACAAAATGCTGTCAAAGCAAAGGCTAAACTTGGCTCTGTATGAGGACACAGAATACTGGGGTGCCTATTCCACCAGTTACTACCGTTTGACCTTGTTGCGTAAAACTCAACATTCACACAAAGCACAACTTTCTCATACAGTATTTTCTTCTTCTGTTTTGTACTTGATGAAGTAAAGCACTGGAGAAGTACAGTAGGTACAGTTTTTTTTTTTCAATTGCCACTGCGGTCTCGCAATAAGGATTTTAAGTCCTGTTAAATATAAACATTTTTCATATCCTGGTAGTGTTTTCAGATAGATTTAAATATACTTTTTAGTGTTTTAAAAATTTCCTTGTTAATTTCATTCCTGTCAAAAAGCATATCTACATGGTTTTCAGAGTGGTTTGTTGAGTAACATAGTTTTATGCATGGAAATTAAACAGGTGCTTGGCATTTTAGGACAAGACAATGGTTTGACAATGACAGGTGAAAACAATCATCTAATTGTTAAACATAAGATCAAGCAGAAATGATATAGCCTAAATATTAACACTCAGAAGCAGAACTGTTTGACCGACCACACCTCAGAGTATTCATTCTGTGAAAGTGAACTTGGTTTGTAAGTTTAGATGCTTTGAACACCTTGTTAAGTGCTGCCTTTGTGATAATAGCATTAAAAATAATTTTGAGAAGTGTTGAAAAAACAGTAATATTGTTTTGAATGCATCTTTGTTAAACCTTTAGAAACATTTTATATTTTCATGTTCAAATGCCTTTGGAAGTACACAATTCCATAAAAGATTCCATAAGAGGTATTGCATTGTAGAAGATAGAAGAAACTATTTTTTCTTTGGTTTCTACAGTACATGTTATTTCAAAAAAGTCTGTTCAAAAACATCCTTACAATGTGATTTAGCTGAGGACAATGTTCCTATTCCTAAATACATTTTCCTGTTGTGAAGTTTCCTGGTTGCTAAAGAAACCATTGCACTGAGAATATAATCTATTTAACATGAGTGGTGCTTTTGGCATTTTAACTTTATCATTCAGTAAACATACAAAACTTTTTTTTGGTTCATTTTGACAGATAGTAACATGGAATTTCAAACAAAAAAACTATTTTAGGAGATTTTACAAAATTAGCTCTTTGAGAACCATAAATTTAATTCTCTCATAATTACAGAAAAGAAACATTTATTTTAAAGATTTCACAAGAAAGGCCTTAATGACAATCCTCAAAACCATGGAATACATTTTGCATCACTATTACAAAAACAAATACAAAACAGAAGGGGAAAATAGACAGATTTCAAAAATGGGATAAGGAATGTGAATCTAATGTTAATCTTTATTTCAATTAGTAGACAGCCTTTTTGCACATATGGTTTGTATATGCTTAACAAAGTGGGTGGTCTATAAAAAAGTGCTAAAGTAATCTATAAAGTCATTTTAGCATAATTGAGGGGGTGCCATCTGAAACTCTTCATTGAGATGTCTTGTCCCCTTTTTAGTCTCAAAAGAAAAGTTTGAATTTTTCCTACTTGCTTAAAACCTGAAGCATGGTTACTATTTTACATGTTTTATTTAATGTTTTCTTACATGTTAGCAGTGAATATATTCATACAGTTCTTACAATTTGCTATGATATAAAAAGCAGACCATTTGTGACTTAATAGAACATTTTTTTAAAACTGTGAACATTTAAAAAACAATTTGGGCCTTTTATGCTTGCGCCGTCCTTCGGATGAGACGAAAAACCGAGGTCCTGACTCTGTGATCATTAAAAATCCCAGGTTGTAACCCCGGTGTCCTGGCCAAATTTCCTACTGGCCCTTACTAATAATGGCCTCCTAATAATCCCTATCTATGAATTGGCTTCATACTCTGTTCTCCTCCCTACTAACAGCAATTATGATTATTGTAATAGAATCCAAGAAGTTCACAGGACTCAAAATTACTCTCTAAGAAAACATTAGTTGAACTGGCTCTTTAAATGTACATTTTAAAAAAATAGCTGGTGGTGGTTAAAATAAGGTGGGTTACTCTTATTTTTCTCTCTCAGCTTTGATATTTTTTGAAGATATTTCTGTTCTTTGAAAATATCAGCAGGTTCTGAATATCCTGATTTTGAAGAATGTGGCCGATCAAAAACCTCTCCTGCTTAAACACTATTTGTTCAGTTAAATCCATGAACATGTGAAAATGGGATTCCACAGCACATCCTGGCTGCCACCCATTTGTTATTCCTAGTCATCGAAATGTGACAATGACACCAACGTCTGCTGTTTAAAAAGTGACCAATTGCCAAATATGGTTAAATCTCTCAAGTGAGCATTAACATTAATTTAGCCTTTTGGCCACCATTTTGTTCTTGGACCTCAATCTGCCACTGTCCTTTTGACTGCTAGACAGATTGAATAGAAACTTGGCAGTTTTCACTAACCACCCAATCTTCTGTTTTGCACCTTGCATATTGCATTGGTCATTGTCCTCCCTATAGTGTATCAACAGCTGCTTGGCAAAAAGTGGCGTCTTAAGCAAACGATCAACAAATTATCTCCAAACATGTTTATTAGAGTGGTAACACATCCAATGCATTAACACATGGCTATATCAACCATAATGGCCACCTGGCCATTATTTTGCTTGCAAACTTCAGACTAATTGAACCTCTTTTTACAATTAGTCTTAGAACCGCTGTCGCGATTGACTTGAAAATTGATGGGTTTCATCACCATGTAGTGCTGTTGCAGAATTTAAATTTAAACATTTTTCAAAATCCTAGCCCTTCTTCTACCAAAAAAAAAAACATTTGGCCAATTAACACCACAAGTATAATTTCATAGGTATAAATGGTGATGCTTCACTAGTATTAAAACTATATATATATATGAAAATTGGGTCTCTGCATGAATTAAAAAGGATGCTCGACTGGCATTTCTTTTCTTCAGTGTTGATCTGGGGCCAGTAACAGTCATTTCTGCTTTTTAAAAATGATTTGTTTTATACTGTTAAAGCAAGGGGTCCTGGAACCCTTATGATAGAGGGAATCATAAACTCCACACATACCAGGACATTTTGGGCAAACACCCAATTTCCTTATGCAAAGAAGCTCAAGTTTGGCTGAAACTGGTCATCCCGGCATGGGCGTGATCCAATAAATAGATCCAAATCGCCAACTGAACATTCGTGTTTTGAACTCAAGCAACTTGAGTGGTGGCATGGTCAAAAATCACCTATTCAGAAATGCCAGAACCTCAAAGCACATTACGGAAGGCATCCATCCAGTCAGTGTAACTCATGCTAGGGGAAGGTTTACAAAATACTAACAGCAGGGGTGTGAATGTGATCCCTGTGTTTTCTGGTTTTAAATTATTTATAAGAAAGATGAATTTTATTTGACACTCATAATTCTGTTCTCCTCCCCCACTAACAGCTGATGTGTGGTGAGCGTTCTGGCGCACTATGGCAGCCGTCGCATTATCCAGACGATTGCTGTACATTGGCAGTGGTGGAGGGGAGTCCCCATTACCTGTAAAGCGCTTTGAGTGTAGTGTCCAGAAAGGTACTATATAAGTGTAAGCAATTATTATTACTTATTAATGTGTCATCATTCAATCTGCATGTTTTTCAGTTAAATTAAGTTTTTTTTTCTCCTTTCAACTGGTTTATGAACAAACCTGGACTAAATATGCAGGCACTAGTGATACCTTATTCTTTTGGCTATACCTCCTGATGTCCTGGTTCCTCAAACCCAACTCAAATCAGGAGTTGCTGGAGCATTTAGTCATTGCACAGTTGGTGTTCAGAGTCTGGACCTCTGTTCTGGCCTAGAATGAATAATGCTGGTATGAAAGAATCTCTGAAATCTTATATATGTTCTAGTTTCTTCTTGAGCTGATTTGTGTGCTCTTCAAATGGTTTTTGGAATTCTGTTAATTATAAAGTGTCATGGGTTGCCTTATACAAAGATGGTGATGTAAGTGTACTGTGTAGTACAGGATAAACACATTGTCTAATGGTGATGTATCTATGTGACTTTAAGTCAAGCTCAATGACATAGCTATGCGGAAGACAGGTAGGTTTTCTACAGGAGGGTTCCTCTAACACTAACACTTATGATAATTTTGGTTTTGTGGTCACTGTTCATACAGTACTTCATAAATACTGGCTATGATCATTGTCTAATTTTAATTTAATCCTCTTCCTAAAGTTAACTGACCACGATGGTGGCTGCCCAGTGCACCAAAAGAATTTTTAACAGTGAAAAACATTTTGCAGTGTGGGGTCAGGCAGTAGCAAAATATATTGCTGCTGTTCAATTTGACTTCTGAGCAGTGGAGTAAGCTTCCAAAAGGCTCTAAATCAGTTAAAGGGCTGACAGTTTTGGAAACAACGACACAGTATATCAATGCTGAATACATATCATTTTGGACAGACATTGCCTATTCATTTACATAGAAGCTCAAGATCTCTTTCAGCTCCCATTCAGAGGTGTATTTGTCTACTGAAAACGTAT